CAAACAACATATTTGAAGGCATTAAATTCACCACGAGAGAACCAGAAACACATAACAAAATTCCTTCCTTAGATGTCGTCTTAATCAAGAGAACTAACTGACACAGGAAATTTGGAAACACAACAAAAAAATACCTACCGGTAATCTTCAAAAAGAATGCATATCCTCACAATTTCATCAAAAAGTGTTGAAAGTGAAGACATAACACCAATAACAAACCGGCATCAAAGACCACAAGAAAATTCATCATACCGTATATATAAGCGAAAATATCTCTCAAATAACAACTGGGATATTAAGACCGTTTGAAATCGATATAGCACACACACAAGCCAGTCAGCCAGACAGCAAACGAAAACATCCGACAGAGGAAGAAGATAAAATTGATACCATTTACAAGATAAAGTGTGTAAACTGCATTAAACATTACATAGGTCAAAGTGAGCGTACCCTACCAATCTGAATTGAAGAACACAAATTGGTAGTTAAACGACAAGAAATACATTCTTTCGTATCAATGCATATGGATAATTATGGACACCAATTTGATTGGAATAATATAGAGATTTTAAATAGAGGAAAAACCTAAAATAGTGAGTGCCAGGGAATTCCTAGAAGCCTGATAATCAAGTGTTTCAGCCAGCGATTAACAAACTCATAAATTATAGACCGAATTTCTCAGCTAATCTAAAGTGTAAATCAGATAACAAGAAAGTTGGAATCCAAAGTCAATAAAAAAAAATATGACCAATCGAGACGTAAATTAACAACCAGTCATGACACTGGTTGCCAGGACATACAATTACACATCATTCATGCAGAACTTGCAGAAGTAAGTCCATTTTATTACTAAAGCCTGCACTGGAGATGTTGTTCAGTTGGACAATGGAAAAACTTTGCAATTAAGCCATCAATCATCAATCAGCTCAGAGAAGACAACTAATTCAATGCAATGGACTATTTAAACGCCAATTATTGTATTTTATTTACTTCAGTTATTCTCAACACTTATAACACTTGATAGCTTCGTTTTAAAAATGAATATGAATTCACGATTTTGTTCAAAAAAAAAATAGGAACAACAAGAACAAATGAACTGAGAGAGAGAGAGAAGTAAATGCACACAGATTGTTCCTACATCACCAAAGATATTAATTATACTAATTGAAATCACACTATCGTATGCATATTATCAGCGTAGTATATTGTATTATAATATTACGTGCATTAACAAAATCACATGTTGACAGAGACATAGTGTATAACACATAATTTGCAATGCTAATTAGTGATGCATTGAACATTGCACTATTCAAAAATAGCATGCATCAGGCTTTAATGTCTACTTATTGAACTAGTTCGTGTTAGCAGATGACAAAATGAACTGATCTTTGTATAGAATATGACTTAGAATCAGTGTGTTTTATAAAATGACGGTTTCGGGAACTTAGCATTCGGTGCTGATATCTTAGTCTATGGCACTTGCATATATATATATTGCTGATGAATTTATAGAGCCAATCTAGAGCAGATTATCCAGGCAACTCATCACTTCTGTTGAAAGCGTCTTTCATAGAGAAAATTGTATACAGACGCGAACGATTGGCTTCGGAGGAGAATGAATTCGCCGACAAAGGGAGACTCTTCGCTGAGCACTACCTGTCTTGTCTCCATCGATAATGTCTGGATTTGGGATTATTCATGATTAACATAAGTAGTAGTAGTTGGATACCACTGATGTCAGCCAGTAGTGTTGGCCAGCTATCCAGGTAGAGCTGATGTGAAGAGTGGACGGTGATTGCTTGCGTTCAGAGCGGAGCTCTTGAGAGATGTATGCCGTCTGACTCAGCTCAGTGAGCCGAGCCATATCAAGGCACCCCGATTCTGACCAACGAACTGGCAATAGAAAGTGACAAATTGGCAAATCGCTTGATGTAACTTTTTTTGATTTACAGCTTGATTCCACACTGTAGTTTTGGTATAAGCATAGAATTTTCAGGATGGATATCGGTAGCCCAAATTTTGGAGGCCGACAAGAGATATCAGATTATCGAACCTTGGCCCATGTGCATGGTCGACGAGAGTCCTAACCACTGTGCCATCAACGCACAAAGCCATTAACTAATTTCGAGAAGGTAGTCAATTAATTAAATAATTAACGACAACCAATGACATATAATGCTGATTGATATATATATGCTAATGGGAATTAGAATGGGATGGCCTAATTCGACTCTGTCAACTGAATCGAACCGAGTACGCCACACACTATTGAATTCAGCCCCAAATGAGTGGAACAGCTGTCCTCTGTTCAGCTCACTCCGCTCTGGTTGACCAGTAAGCGGTTAGTGTCAGGCGCGTATAGAACTGATCACAGAAATCAACTAGGAGTGTATTCCATCAGGCATCTGGATGCTCATTCCATAGAATGACATTCATGATATCAGTCAGAATACACATTTCGACAGAAACAGTTTTGGTTTTCGAAGGAGATCTTGGTGAAATCCCACCTTGAATTGTGTAAATAACGAATCGTGGAATCTCAGATTCCTACTGACTTATATATCAGTCAGTACTCAGATTTCCATGGAAACAGAATTCCAGCTAGTTCACGTGGAAAGTGTGAACCTGAGGTTATTTCCAATGGCTTTCATTGTCGTCTGAATGAAAACGTTTGTTGATTCCCTGAGGCTGTTATTTGTTTCTTCAGTAGTTGTGTTTTCAACAGATGAATACTTCGTGTGATTTTGAGCAGAGTAATTCCATCCCTGTAAAATGACAGTGACAAGATGATGAACAACTATGAGTGTGGCTGACTTCAATCTACTTTACACCGAGGAGTTCGCCTTCCTTCATCATTTTCTTTATGAACACAAAAGGAAATGTTAAGAATTCGGATGAAGTGTCAATTTGCATTGCTCACCTAACTTGAGTGGAGCTGCAATTCCACGAAACATCACATGTGTACTTGAAGGACACTCTTCCAGTGAGCCATCAACACTCCGCGAAAAACCATTTGCTAATTTTTCCCACAGACTTCACTACATATAAGATTATGTGGTGAATTGAAGGAATCCGGACAGTCCTAACATTCTAGTCTGCAAATTTTCAATGAAGCAACACACCACCTTCATTTTTCCTGACAACTGGACTGTTGAGTATAAACTCAAGGCCACATGGCTTCATACTTCTATCAGTTCTCAAGTCGAAGCCACAGAGGCACATCGTCGTTGGCAGATAATTGCAATTTGATGAGGGATGTCAGTCATGGCTTGGTAAAACTGTGTTAAGTAAGCAAATAACCACAAGAGTCAATGAATCAGTACTCAGATGAAGGATTTGTAAGGGTATGGTTCACTTTCAAACACTGTCCATCACCTCTCAGTGTGAAAATTCTCAATGTGTTGATGGAGGTACACCTCAGACGACTAACAATCCATCTCTTGAAGATGGAATTGTAATTCAAGTGTCGGTTTTAAGGGATTTGATTTGATTTGACTTGATTGGTTACGGGATTTCATCATGAGCTGACATCAGTTAGAGAAGCATTGGAAAACCTGCACGGAGTACTGGACAGCTGTTTCGTGCTAGTTTGTGTCACCAGCAGGAGTAAAGTTACAAAAACCAATTCTACTGCCTTACATCAATCCGGGGTGCACTTGATTCCTCTGGTATTTGAATTTTGTGAAATATCCTACATTTGATAGCAAGAATCTAGGACTGCATGAAAGATGCCTTCCTAAGCACCTTTAGTTCTTCACTTTATCATGCAGCTAACTGTGCACAGGTATCGTTGAATAGGCCGAAGCTGGGAGCAAACACGCATTGAGTGTACTCTGCTTTCTCATCGCTATTGGATGACATCAGGTTTACGACGAATTCCACTGAATTCACTTTTAGGGCCGAGGACAGCAGTTATTTGTTGTGGATTTCATATTCCACTACAAATCTTGTCTAGGCTTGAGCATGACTCAGACAACAGGTGTTTATGGAGTAGTTCGTACTATTTTAGAAGCAGACAGATTTGAGATACTCATTGTTATTTTATTTTGGTGAATTGAACGTTTCAATTTTGATCACAGATTGATGTCAGTTAGAGAGCCATTGGAAAGCAGGGAGTGCTGGACAACTGTTGCGACTTGCTTCGAGACATATCGTCAGTACACACTCACTGGGGTTCCAACGCTCGACCTTCCAGTTACAAGTCAAGCTCGTTGACCGTCCAGCCATTTTGGTCGCAATTCCACAGTCGATGAATTCTAAATCCTATCAATTCACTATATCGCCACCATCGTTGATTCTCCAACTGTCATTAATCCGTGACGAAAGTTCAGATAAATCAAATCCCAACAAATTATCTCCTGAAAACCTCAACATATGCATATATACACATGTATGTATGTATGTATGTCGCTTGATACAATACGCAATTAACAACAACACTTATGAAAACCACTAACTTTGGAGACTTACCAAGAAGGTTATCATCCATAATTAGTGATGTAGACAAAAAGTAGAGAGATAAAAATAGTGCTACGAGCAGAATACTGTAGGGTAATCGAACAAGGTGTTGGCGACGATTATGATGACAAAGATGCTGATGAACAGTTGAAAGGCGTTGTGATTGCAGTGGTGATGATGATGAGGATGATTTACTCCGCATTCTTGTCACATTAATCTATTTGTGTTGAACACGGGAACTAGTAGGTTGTTGAACATTAGCATGTGAAAGTGACATCACAAATTTACTTATTTAACAATTGATTTAATTCACACACACATAACAACCAATCACAGACTGTGTGTGAAGACTGTTTCATAATGCATATTTGTGTTGGTGTACTTTTATGTGTGTCTGTCTATGTGTGTGTGTGTGTGCGTGTATGCATGCGTCTGTGTGTTTCTGAAGCCTTATTTGCTGTTTGAGAGACAGCACACAATCGCATATATATATATATATATATATATATATGTATATATATTTGGAAAAAATTTTATATGTGAAATCTCAGCGAAATTGAAATGGTTAATTCCAACGTTGAAGGCTGAAACAAGCAAAATGTTACAGTCAATATAAGAGAAGCTCGGTGTTACTCTTTGGTTTACTCTGGCTCCAAAAAGTGGCAGCCCCCGTACATTTTATGGGTTACCAAAAATACACAAAGTTCCATTACGTCCAACATACAAACTCTCTAAATACATTTATCGAATTCTCAGCCCATATGAAATGAAAGTGGAGCATGGAGTGAAGAATTCGTATGAATTTAAGAGGAAAATAAATTTGACTAATACTGAAGAAGATGAAATAATGGCAAGTTTCTGTGTTTATTCATTATTCACGAATGTACCGGTTAATGATTCTTTAAGTATTATTTATAATTTACTTTGTACTGACGACGAACTCAGTGGTCGTTGTCCTTTAAATCCTGACGAAATTATGAAGGTATTAGAATTGTGTCTTCGATCCACGTTATTTGCGTTCAGAGGGGTTCTTTATCGTCAAACAGGAGGCATTGCTATGGGATCGCCAGTATCTCCGCTAGTCGCCAATCTGTTTATGCACTCATTAGAAACAAATGCAATTATGAGATGCCTTAGTCCCCCAAAGATGTGGTTAAGATACGTAGATGATACATTCATCATAATCAAACGTAGTTTGTTAAATGAACTTTTTCACTTAATGAACAATATGTCAGAAACCATCAAGTTTTCCAAAGAGGTTGAATCCGATGAAAATGAGTTGGCGTTCCTGAACTGTTTAGTAGGAAGAAAATTATATGGGAAATCTAAAATAAACATTTTCAGAAAGCCGACAAATTCGGATAGATACATAGATTAGATACTATTCAGCTCATCCATTTACCACCAAAGTAACTGTGGCCAAGAATCTGATCAACAGAGCCAAAAGTCTAGTTACTGAGGAGGAAGATATTAGCAAGGAACTAAAATTGGTTCAACCCACTCTTGAATCAAATAATTATCCTAAAGCCTTAATAAAAAGATATTTAAAATGTGAAGATAAGGATGGATCGAAACCTGCTACTAAGATTTGGGTTAGTACAGCGGTGATCCCCTACCTCAAATAAACATCCGATGAAATAAAGCGAACCCTTAACGACCATAACATCAGAGTGTACTTTCGTACATCTTACACCTTACGCTCATTACAAGAAAACCAGTAGAACTGCCTATACCAGATCAATTGTGGGGATTGTAACGCAGTATATGCAGGAGAAACTTCCAACAGGTAAGACAGGTAAGAGTGAAAGAGCATAAACAATGTCTAAAGGTTGTTCCCAAGTCCTCTGCTGACTTGAAGAAGCTAGAAAACAACTCAGCGATTGCATTGCATTCGATAGAAACGGGACACATAATCGACTTTGATAAGACTAAGGTTTTACAGAATGGTTTTGGTTCATATCAAGAAAGATTAACTGCAGAAGCCCTACATATATGGGTGAATCCCAACAGTTTGAACAGACGTGAAGGTGTGATGTTACCTGATGCATGGAAAATTCTGACTAATAAATAAAATTGGATATGTATGAACAAGTAGTCACACTTGGTCACATTCCCGATTGTCTACGTCTTCTTACGGAGAGAACAACAAATCTATAAAAATTATAATATAATATATAGTACCTTGAGAAAGCTATTAGCATTAAATAGCGAAACGTCAGTAAAAACAATCTCGTTTTGTTTTTTCATTCATTGGGAAATACAAAAAACCTCTATTATAATGAAAATTATAATATATTTGTAAAAATCTCAATTATTTTGGAACTATCCGGTCAAATCTTGATCGCAGCTCATGTGATAGTAGCAAATGTTTTATGACTGTTCACCCACCCACCCACCCACCCACCCACCCACACACACACACACACACACACACACACGCCATTGTATACTGCATATACACGTATATTTTAACAAAAGTAGACAAATTTTGAAAGTCTGAGGTCAAACAATTTTTTGATCATAGTTCATACAACTTTTGTTTTGTTTTGTTTAGTATACATATTGGTAGCTATTTCTTGATTCATATGACAGGACAAACAATTTAAGATTAGATAGTGTGAAATATTGCCATATTATGAATTAAAAGTAAATCTGAACGAAGAATATTCTGGATTTCATCACGTGCTGACATTAGTTAGAGAACCATTGGAAAGCCTGGGAGTACTGGACAGTTGTTTCGTCCTAGTTCGGGACTCTTCAGCAGTACGCACCCACCGGATTCGAGCCCAGGACCTTCCGGTTACAAGGCGAGCTCATCACTTGAAGAATATTCTTTTCAATAATTTCTCTTCAGTTTCACACAATTATGAAATATAATATTTGTGGTCGTTACAATAAAGGCCAGTTATGCGGCGGCGGTTACATTTTTAACGAGCGTTGGAACCCCAGTGAGTGTGTACTGACGATATGTCGTGAAGCAAGTCGCAACAGTTGTCCAGCACTCCCTGCTTTCCAATGGCTCTCTAACTGACATGAATCCGACATGCTTCGAGTAACCGTCACTGATAATGGTACAAAGATAACAACGAAAACAAATTGAGTACTGTGAATTTCATCGAAAAGTAATTCGGGACTATAATCAAACGATTATTAAAAAACACGCGTGGACTGACGCGTAAAATCCGAAAACACAGGATTCGTCTAAAATACAGCAGTGTACTTAACACAAAATATGAAATATAATATACAAAGCTCAATTGTGAAGTGGCTGTAGCTGAGTGACGTCAAAAGCACAGCCAATGTGCGTTAATAAGTAAAAACAGCAGAGCTGTGCCAGAGGCGATCCTCGTGTTCTTCAAACAGCGCGCGAATGCCAGACACAGAATTAAGGGAAACAGATAAGCAATGTTCAAGAGAAAAGAGTACAGGAATAAAACGTATACAGCAAATAATTTTCTACTATAGGAAAATACTTATTACACATCTGATACACTATCAATACATTGGGTGAAATAAGCTTGAATTGTGGGTGAGGACATATATATTCACGTATTAAGAAATACAACTTGCACTACTCACTAAAGATGAGTAGTATACATTGAACACAAGAGAAGGAATGACAAAGGGGGAATAGGAATGCGTTTAACAGATAGATATTCCGTCTTGGAAACTCCATTCTAGGTGCTACCTCAATTCCCTACGTTTGGACGTCCTTCGCTATCATTCCGATGGATTTCAACGCTGGTTAGTACTATTATTAACACCGTCACTATCACTATTCTACTGACATCCTTTTCGTTTACATTTGATCATGTTGATCCGAATCGATTGCAACATCTATGACTGATATGCAATTGATGATGTAGTTGTGAAGCCTGATGAGGATCTACCGAAAATATCATCCCGCTTGCCTAAATTGTGTTCTCAAAACAAGTATTTGCATGGAATACACATTGAGCGAATTGAGGCTAACAATATGGCTGAGTGATTGAGGGATAATGTTAGCATGTGATACGATAAACTGTCATTGTTATTATTATTAGACGAATAGAAAGTGTAGATGGCGGCCTGTTTGACATCTGGGCTACCTTTTTCGTGCATCTACATATTGCATCTAATAAGTCATGTTTTCATTCCTAATTTTAATAAAATATGATCACAAATCGCATAAAATACAGTAATTCATTCATTAAACGTTTTAAACCATATGACTTTCATGCAACTAATAATGCATCTAATAAATCTAAGAGAAAACATCATGCTGGCTGGCAGCGTGCACTTAAACAGACACCTTTATATCGTACAACCATTCCTGTTATTGTCACTTCAAACTGCCGTTCACTTCCCAACAAAATTATGCATCTCCAGTCTCTCTTATCATCTGATACTTATCACAATACGGCGATTGTTGCATTACAAGAAACATGGCTCCATGAACTCTATGATGACAATCTGGTTTCCCTAAATGGTTTTACATTGTTTAGACAAGATCGACTATGCTCCAGAAAGAAAAGAGGTGGAGGTGTTGCAACTTTCATTCATTCTCAATGGTCAACTTCAAATAATGTATGTTTTTCTTACTCTAATGACTTTATTGATTGTATAACGGTCAAATGCCGCCCGAAACATTTATCCAAATTCAAATACGTCTTCATCTCTAACATTTATGTTACTCCTGGCTGTTCTGCATCTGATCTATCTGATTTTGCTGATGAATTCACTGAATTTGCCGTTACACATCTTGAAAACTCTTTATCAGTTGTCACAGGAGATTTTAACTGCTGTGATTGTTCTTTCCTCGTATCATTAGGTCATGCCAATATTGTTAAATTCCCTACTCGACTTGATAAAACCCTTGACCTGGTGTTCATTAATGATGAGGAAATATATGAAGTACGCCGACGTGCTCCTATCATGAACTCAGATCATTGTATTATTCGGATATTACCTAAGATATACAGCAGATCTCACTTTAATATCTTCTCAAATCTGTCCAAGAGAACACAGCAAAGGTGTTACTCACAAGAAAATATGCTCAAACTAAGATGTATGCTAAATGACACTAACTGGGAACTTTTCAACGAACACAAACTGGATGATACTATTTCCAATTTGACTGACTATCTTAAATTCTGTCTTGATATATGCTGTCCAAAACAGATAATTTTCAAAAGAATGGATCGTTTTTCTTCCCCTCATCTCAAAAAACTTCGTAGAGAAAAAGAGAAGCTGTACAAGACAAAGAATAAATCTGGTCTTAAGAAGATAAACACCCAAATTAAATCTGAAATCAAGAGACTAAACAACATTTATAATCAAACAATACTATCTTGTAAAACATCAGAAAACATATGGAAGCTTTTTAGAGAAATTACTGGTTGTGGTAAGCATAATAATTTTGCCTCTTCTATTGATGTAAATACTCTCAATAGATCTTTTATCCGCCCTCCAAATGTCCTTTCTGCCTTCAATTTAACTAATAACACGACCAGTGACTTTCATCGTTTCAATACTTCTGATGTTCTTAAATGTTTGAAATCTCTTAAACCTTCCCAGAGTCTAGGCCCTGATGGTATACCTGCCATTGTTTTAAAGAAATGTGCTGATATTTTAAGTAACCCACTTACAAGCATTTTCAATACTTCTTTTTCTAATAATAATGTACCTTCTCTGTGGAAAGATATTAAAATCATCCCTGTACCCAAGTCTGGTTCTGGAGATAGTGTTAAGTTTAGACCAATTGCCATTACCTCTCCTTTCTTGAAACTGATGGAGAAATTACTCTTACAAAAACTCATTCCCTCCCTAAGCTTCTCAAATGATCCAAAGCAGTTTGCTTACAAACAGGGTAGAAGTACTTTGGATGCTGCTGCAGTGTTTCATCACAACATTGTATCCTCCTTAGACAAAGGGGCCAAGTATGTCCGTTGTACTTTCCTTGATTACACATCTGCTTTTGACTCTGTACCTAGAGGCCTTTTGTTAAACAAGCTTAGCCTTACACAAACTGAGTCCTGGGCTATCAACTGGCTGCACTCTTACTTCTCCAATAGGATGCAGTACACGGTATATAATGGTGTAGCTTCCTCTCCTTTGCTTACTGAAGCTGGTGTTCCTCAGGGTGCTGTTCTCTCGCCGTTTCTCTTTTCCTTCTTCTTACATGACTTACCTCTCTCAGACGAAATCAACTTCGTCAAATATGCAGATGACCTGACTGTTTCGCTTCCCGTTAAGTCTCAGTCAGACTGCTTCAAATTAAATAGCTTCCTGTCGGACATCAGTCAGTGGTCTAAAATAAATGGCCTAACGCTGAATCCCTCAAAATGCCAGACTGTCGACTTCTCCTTTAGGCATAAACGAGATCTACAAACACTAGTAAGCACTCATGATGTCTGTAGAATCGAGGGGACTATAATTGAAACAAAGTCTAATGCAAAATACCTCGGATTAGTTATATCTTCCGACCTTACTTGGTCATCTCATATCCAAATGATTTCCAAGAAAGTGTTTCGTCTAACCTACTACATTAAGAAACTCAGACTAACTGGAGTCCCTCAACCTCTGCTTACACAATTTGTCAACTCTCGTATCCTACCTATTCTACTTTACTGTTCCCCGTTAGTCTTTCCTGGGTTACTGAAAAAGGATTATACCATCCTGAGAAGGATGTTGAAGGTAGTTAGCAGGACTAGCGGTGTAAAACTCAGTCAGCTCGTCACAACATTAGTGGATAAGCATCTGAATACATGTGAGAAATGGTCTAAAACCATACTCTCTGACCCCCAACACCCCCTCTATTCCCAACTCTCTCCCTGCATCTCATCAGGTAGAACCAGAAATCAGTATAAAATAATATATGCTCGCACAACCAAGTATAGGAACTCAACGATACCATATTTGGCCCGTGTTCTAAGTGAC